AAAAAAAAAAAAAAAAAAAAAAAAGAAAAAGAAATACATATTGCAGAATCCGTTAACAAACTTGCTTTGGGACAGTCTTGCTCACTAATTTACATAGTATTTTGGCTATTTTCATTCTATATGGCATAGTTGTGGCAAGGATTGCAAAGTCTACAGTATTTGCTCCCTAGCTATTTACAGACAATGCCTGCTCACCCCTGCCCCGAGCATCCTGGGAAGTGACCACTTTTTTTTTAAACAATGCTAGAGATCAAACTCAGGGTCTTTGTACTCAGCTATATCCCCAACCCTTTTTTACTTTTATTTTAAGACAGGGTCTGGCTAAGTCATTAGATTAGCTAGGCTGGGCTCAAACTTGCAATTCTGCCTTGGCTTCCCAAAGTACTGGCATCACACCTGGCTGAATGCTCACTTTTTAACACCAGTGTCTTGCTTGCTTCTGCATCTAGCAGCATTTGACACACAGTGGGTTCCTTTACCCAACCCGCCAGGCTTCAAGCCCAAACACATTGAGTCCCACTTCTGTTGCCAAGTGGCCTGGCTTAGGAATCAGACCCTACACCACGCCATCCCTACACATTCACAGCAGTGTAACCCCTGGGCGCTCCAACCCTCAATCTGGCCCTGCACATGTCTGCTACATATTTGGCACAGATCCCTCTCTGACGAGGGATAATGAGCCCTGGGGGTATTCTCCCCACCAATGCTGAGATGATAACTAACTATAAGTAGATTATACAACCTTTTACCTGAGTTTCTTACAGTGTGCTTTTATTTTCTATTCATTTTTAAAAGGAGTATTTTATATTTATAAATAAAAAGTATTTCATGCCAGGTGTGGTGGTGCATGCCTGTAATCCCAGTGCTCAGGGGGCTGAGGTAGGAGGATCACTGCGAGATAGAGACCAGCCTGGGCTACAAAATGAGCTCAAGGCCAACCTGAACTGCAACCTGAACTGACCCTGTCTCAAAAAGAAACCCCCCCAAAAAATTTACTTCAAATATAAACACTTACTTTTAAAAAGCACCCTTTTGGCTCACCAAAAACAGATCATAATATTTATTGGGACTAAAATCATACAGCCTACCTATGATTTGACCCACCCCCAAATCTTATGACTCAGTAGATAAGGAAGCCAGCTCTTTGGTCTCTCTCTCTCTCTCTCTCTCTCTGTGTGTGTGTGTGTGTGTGAGAGAGAGAGAGAGAGAGAATGTTGAATTTGGGACTGGGGATATAGTTCAGCAGCACAGTGCCTATCCAGCAAGCATGAGGTCATGAGTTCGATTCCCAGTACCAAAAATAACATTGAATTTGGTTTCAGAGGTCTGGGAAGGTGCTGGAGAGTACACATACCTCCAAACTCCAAAAAGTCACTAGCTTGGTAGCTCCCAGCTCAGCAATCAACACAAACCCACATTATAGAGGAGTTTAAAAGATCATAAAGAATCGCAGTGCAGCACCCATGGTGACAATGAACACGTTCATGCCACACTTCTAAGACTAGCTCTGTGGCTCATGCTAGCTTAGGCCCTCTGCACCTACTCTGCGCAAACCACATAGCTAAAAACATTTTTCCAGCTAATGAGAAACTCTAAAGGTGGGTGAATGCCCCCAGGTACTTTCAATACAGTATTCAGTTTGCCAAATTAAAGAATATATATCCACACCAAGAGACCTAACACAGGATAAAGGAGGATATAAATCCTACATCTCTTTTCCAATGTTCCCTGACTAGCCCACTCCTTTTCTGTATTTTCCAATTCTAACTTTTATTTCCATCATCTGCTCCTCTAATACAGTTCTCCATTCTTCTGAGCATTCCTGCTCATGTCTCCTCGAACCAAAGTCAATTATCAACAGTTCTTAAGTATAACACTCTTGGCTCAAGCATAGTTTACTAGAGATAGAAAAAACAGCCAAAATATTTAGAACTTAAATAAACAAATATAGTCACCTTATTTGTGTTTTTAAATCCATAATTCATGGTAATAGCATAAAAATAGGAAAGGCTTAGGTGTGTCATCAACATGGGTCCACTCTTACCAACAGGGATACATTCTAAGACCCTTAATGGATGCCTAAAATCACAGACATGGTTTATATATACTAAGTTTTTCCTATAGAAAGGAGTCCATGTGTTTAACTGCTATATAGTTGGTCCTTCCAACTATGGGCCTCCTCCTGACAGCTCAAAAGCTTTCCTGTTGGATGAAAAGTTTCTGATCACAGAGTCTATCCTTTAAATCTCCTTTTCCAATTATTGCCCCAATATGCCTCCTCCTGGGCTCTCTTCCATCTTGGCAAGGAGACTGTGTGGTGGGGAGACTGCCAGCAGGCTTTCCTACAGGGTGGCCAAACTCTCAGTAAATAGATGTTATTCTCCATTAAAAGCCCGGAAGCAGCTGGGTTTCTTCAACTTATCCCACCTGGCTCTCCTTGTGTCTGTTCCAAGTGAGACATTAGAAATGTTCATGAGACAAAGGAAAGAGTTCAGGGGCCAAACTGCTCAACAGTCTTCACTGTGCTTCCAGCGGCCTGGCTTCATTGTGTCCATTTTCGTCTTGATCTGGCATCTCCAAACCCAGACGGCGCAGGGAATGTACAAAGAAGCGAGGAAGCCTACAGACCAAGTGGAGTTCCTCCTTCCGGAACCCCAGGGGAGGCAGGATCAGCTGCCGGGCATGCAGGTGGAGGGGGATGTACCGAGCCTTTGGCTGTTCCAGCCCCAGTTTCTTCAGGGTGCCAACAGGAAGCTTCTACACAAAGAAAAGACAGACCGGTAAAGGCAAGACCAGTGATCCACACTTCAGCACACAAAGACTTCCACTTAGGGAATCAATACTAACCCCTGAAGACCCAGTAATGGAGAACCTGCTTCAGGGACACATCTAGGAAGGGTTCAGAACCCAGGTAAGAAACCACTGCCAAGAAGCTGTTACTGGCCAATCCTCTGCCCTTCCAAGAGAAATGGCTGAAATATCAAAGGGTAAAAAAGATGCTATCATGGTTCACAGAGTAGCATGAAAGGTAGCTTTATGTTCAGAAAGATTAGCCTCTTAACAAAATCTAAGAGCAAATACGGGAAGCAGTAAAGCTTTGCTAATAGATTTTGCAGTCCATCAAGTCAATAACTAAATGCTTCTGAATTCTCTAAAGTTAGACAACCAGTATGGCACCATACCTATTTGTTATGACTCACTTCAATGTGAGCCATTTTGTTTAATGAAATAAAGCACAGGTTCTCTCGCTTGTTCTGACACATATTGGGGTTAAACCAGTATTACCTGAGGAGCTAACCTATTCCAGTCTGAGTACTTGTGATCACCAAGGATTGGACAATCCAACCCAAAAGACAGGTGAACTCGAAGCTGATGTTTTATTCCTTAAGAGAGAATGAAAAGAGAAAAAAAAACTTATGAGGAGCTACAGAAACAATACTAGTGCTGGCATCTGCTTCAAATCATATTAAATCAAAGCACAATAAACTGGCAAAACCCCAACTCCTGTAAGGTATAAAAAATAAAGTAACAAGCTATGCAGCACTGGCCTGATTAGGAAGGAAGTATAAATACTACTTTAAACAACCATCATCATGAACTTGGTCTCTATCATTATCCTCACATTTTACAATTTTACTACATAATGATAAATAGTATTATTTTGTACAGTTTTAAAATTGTGGTAAAATATGCAAAATAGTTCCCACTTTAATCATTCTTAAGTACACATTAAGTGACACTGGGTATACCCACAGTGTTTTGCAACCACCGCTGTCATCCATCACTACAATTTTTTCATATTCCCAAACTGAAGCTCTGTACCTATTAAACAATGACCTCCCTATGACTCTTCTTCCTCCTCCCTCATCCTCAAGCTTTCAGCAACCCCACTCCACTATCTCTATAAATCTGATTACTGTTGGCACCTCAGGTATGTGAGATCATACAGCACCTGACATTTGTGTCTGACTTACTTCACTTTGCACACTATCCTCAAAGTATATTCATGTTGTAGCACATGTCAGAATTTCCTTTCTTTTTTTTTTTGTCTTTTTGAGACAGGGTCTCACTATGTAGTGCAGGCTGGCCTTGAGCTCACTTTGTAGCCCAGGCTGGTCTTGAACTCACAACAATCCTGTCTCTTTTAAGTCTATTGTAACTAATGCTGCTGTGAACATAGGTGTGTAAATATCTGCTTTTAACATGGGTAACTAATGCTGCTGTGAACATGGGTCTGTAAATATCTCCAAAAGTATATTTCCTTGATTGTATGGTAATTTTTTAAGGAATTGCTGTATACATTTTAAATAAAGGAATTCAGACTGCTATCCACAATCACCCCTCAGATCAGCACAAGCACAGTTACACAAGTATGCTGCACCCTCAGCCCACCCACAGGGCCAGCAGCTCAGAACAACACCAGAGGCTAGCATGAAGCCCTGGACCAAGTGTGGAAGCCACTTTCCTGCAGAATGGGGGAACCCTTACCAGTAATGGGCTGGAGCTCCACGAGGGCAGAGGACACAGTGCTGCTAAGCACCCGATACTGAGTTACAGCAACCTGGGCATTCCGGCTGGTCCGCACTTTCACCATTTTCCCGTTGTCCATGCGGTAGCTTGGGGATAATGTCATCTGAAGCCAAATAAAGTAAGATATGACTTTTGAGAAAGAACAGAAACCCCAGCCTCCTGGGGGCATTTCACCCACCTTGTGGTGCTGCTGTTGCCCTTGCACCTCCTTCTCAATGATGGGGATATCCACGACTCCTGCCGAGGGCACAGGGACATGCACAGTGACAGCCCTGGGGTGACACATAGATAGCTACTTTAGCCACAGAAGCCAGACAGGATCTCCTGTGAGTTGGCCATTTTAGAGGATACTAGGCCTTCAGCACTAACACGAACACTTCTTATGACTTCTTATGCCTGTCTGTGCTGCGATGAGCTCACCAACACAATATATTTCAAATGGGTTATTGAGTTGTGGCTATGGTTCCTGCGACTTCTTTCCCTATAGTTCTTTCCTGCTTTACCTACCTGGCAAGTAGGGCAGGACTGCTCCTGTATTTCATTGGGTTCATTTATTTACTTATGCATTTGTTCATTCATTTAATATATGATCAGAATGTACTATCTTCTATTATTTTAAAAAAGATGCCCAACATGGGGCACATGCCTGTAATCCCAGCAATAAGGAGGCTAAGGCAGGAGGATTGCCACAAGTTTAAGGCCAGCCTAGGCTACATAATGAGTTCAAGGGTACTCTGAAATACACAGCAAGTCCCTGTCTCAAAAAAACAAACAAAAAAAGGATACAAAACCATATGATCCTAATTTTCTTTTAATTATGTATGTTATTAATTTGTTTTCTTTTTCCCCAAAAATTCTATAATTCATAAGCATGATTTCAGAAATAAAAGAGAGGCTTATAGGAAACAGCCAACTCTTAGGCTAAGCATTAAACCAAGAAAATCATGAAGACTATGGGGGATTGTTATAGTTTAGATGTTCCATCAAAATGTCATGCGCTCATAGGTGGGAACTTTGGGAGGCTGGATATGGGGGGTATTAGTCCACTAATGAGTTTACAGCTACATGTGATGTTGGGAGGTGAAGCCTGGTGGGAGTAGGTAGGTCAGTGGGGGTGTGGCCTAGAAGGATCTATCTGCCTTCCTCCTCCTTTGACTGTGCTCTACTTCATACACCACGCCATAAGTTGTTTCCCCTCTGCCATGCCCCTCTGCCTTGGGGCCAGCTGACTATGGACTGAAGCCTCTACAAACTGCAAGCCCAACTTTGTAGGTGTTGGGTATTGTGTCTCAGTGACAAGAAAAAACTAAGACAGGGACCCTCTGATCATAATCAATTACAGTGGTTCTTAAATTTGACTGTACATCCTAATCATTTGTGGAGCCTTTTGGTGCCACTAGGATCAAACCCACGCCTCACATATGATAAGCAAGTGTTCTACCACTGGCTACATGCCCAGTCCCCATTTCTGGAGCTTTTAAAAAATGTAGATGCCAGCCAGGCGTGGTGGTGCACACCCATAATCTCAGCACTTGGGAGGGTGAAGCAGGAAGATCACTATGAGTTCAAGGCCAGCCTGGGTTACACAGTGAGTTCAAGGTCAGCCTGAACTATACAGTGAGATCCTGTCTCAAATAATATAGATATAGATATATAGATACAGATGACAATCTCCACAGCCACCTGTTATGATTCAGAATCTCTGTGGTTGCGTCTTGAAATATAGATTTTTAAAGGGCTCCACAGATCACAAAGTACTTGCAAAATCTGTAAAACAAAGAGCACTAACATCTAAAATATAAATATATGAATCAAATAGAAAATAATAATCCAAGAGAAAAACAAAGGTAAAATAAACAATTTATCCCTAGAAAGGGAAACTTAGGTAATGCATAAACATACAAAAAGGCAAGCAAGATCACTACTATGAAAAGAAATAAAAAATAAAGTATTTTTTTTCACTATCAGTATGGCAAGCTTTTTAAAAATACTTGGTCGGCATAAGGGGAGGTGAATACTTAACACGGATGGTAGTATTATAAACTGGTATAGCCTTTTAGAGAACAACTTGGATACTATTAAAATTTAAGTGTGCACACACTTCAAGCAATTCCAAATACTGCTATGATTTGGATGAAACTCATGTTGATGCTGAATTGCTATCGTGCTGGTGCTGGGAGACAGGACTTTTAAGAGGTTATTAGGTTGTTAAGAGGGATGAATGCTTCTCTGGTGGAAATGGCCTAATTCTCGAAGGAATGAGCTCTCGCTCAAGGAACTGGATCATTACAACATAAACAAGCTGTTACAAAAGCAAGGCTGCTTCTCCTGTTTCTCTTTTGCCCTTGCTCTTGTACTTTCTGCCCTGAGTGGAAGCGGCACAAAGGCCTTACCAGCATCACACTCTGGACTTCCAGCCTCCAGAACTGTCAGCCAAAATAAATTTCTTTCCGTTTATAAATTATGCAGGCTCAGGTATGATCACAACAACAGAGAACAGACTAAGATAAATATATTCACACAGTCTTTGCCATAAGCTCTGTAAGGTGAGAAATACCTAAACATCCCATCTGTACAGTACCACAGAGCCACAAGGAGACAGTTCTAAATGTATCACAGGAAACGCTCTTCAAAATATATGATCCAAGCAAAAACAGCAGAATATGAAAGCAGTAGATAAAATACGCAGTCATACAATAACATACTTCCAGTATAACCCTAGTAATGTATGCAAGACACTGGTAACAGTGATTGCCTCTATGGAAGGGAACTACACAGATGCAGAACAAAGAGTTTTTGACTCACGTATCTTTTTTTCATGAAAAAAAACAAAAACAAAACCCAAAACCAATGTAGCTCTATATGCACTAACAGGGAAAGATCCTGACACAGAGTTGAGTGGAGGGAGAAAGGAGTAGAATGTAAACTATATAATATTATTTTT